AATGAGAAGATGCTGGAGGAGTAAAGATCCACTTTATACCCGTCCGACCCAAATGATCAGAAATGGGTTCGCTCTGGCCCTTAACAAATTGATAAAGCTCCTTCAACTTCTTGGGTGCCTCTGAAAAGGCGATTAGTTGCATGGATGATGCGTTTTGGCTGACAATACAATGAAGCAGGCAAACTTTTCTCAAGCTAAGAAATTCTTCAAGGAAAACCTTCCACAATGAAGACACACTAGAGGGCAACTCATCATCCCAATCAACTTTTAGCAACCACAAACGTTGTAATATGCATTCAACGGAAAAAAATACCGAAGTGATATATTCATTTAGAATAGAATAAAATAGAAAATAATTTTATTCTGGGACGAAGTTCCTTTAGAATAACAAAAAAGTACAAAATTAAAGTATTATATCTGGCCTAAGTAAAAACAAACACAAAAAGTAAAAATAAAGAAAAAAAATTTATATTTATATCGAAAAATTTTTCAATGAAGGATAGAATACCTCACTTTGTAAAAATAGGTTCACTTTCCTGTAATGAATACTTGAAATGATCAAGTTTGGATCCCAAAACAAACCCAGAACCTTGACAGTCGAGGAGTCTCCCTCCAGGCACAACAGAATTTCTCGACTACACTCGGGTATAACAGAGATTACTTTTTCGGAATTGCTTGAAAACTTTCTGCGTTCAATCCCACCTGCTCCAAATAAGGCCATCAACTCATACAGTTCCAGAGCCTCATCACTATCGCGAGCACCAGTGATTACATTGTTTACATAAATCTGGTCATGACACTGGGCAGCTTTAGGAAAATTATGATCTCCTCGAAATAACTGTAGAATGACTCTCTGAGCAATAAAGGGAGAACATTAGTCTGTCCCTTGCCTTTATACTGGTAGGATATGTGTTCTTCTGTTTTCCAAAGTTGTGTTGTTTATAGTTCTTATTACACTTATAAAAGATTATCAGTGTAATAAGAACTATAATAATAACTTATAAAAGATTATCTCTAATTATTAACTTTTTTGGTGATATTTCAAGCTATTATTCTTAATAAACAAAAAGGTAAGTAATAACTTTAGAGTTTATCGAGACAGTGGAGCTTGTCTTGAGACAAGGACAGAGGTTAACCCCCCTCACTCCCCACCACCTCTCTCGTGTATTACTTTATAAGTCAGTAGTACAGTTACTTTACGATGACGCTGTGCCCGAAGATCCAAATGAACTAAATTCCTTTTTTGCAAACCATCCTCCTTCTGTATTCACATCTGACCTCTTACCTTATTCCATCACTGAAACCTCCTTTGACCCAGATAAGTTTTTTTTTCTTGATATCTCTCCAACTGACCTACTCTCTACTATCCTTAAATCCAAAACCAACGAATATGGTCCAGACCAAATTCCTATGAAAATCATTAAACTCTGCCTACCAAACTTACTTCCTTTACTCCTACACATCTGCAATTTTTCCCTCCAAAATTCCGTTTTTCCTAAAGCCTGGAAAAAAGTCATTGTCCAGCCGTTGAACAAAGTTCCTGCTCCTTCATTAGCTTCTGACTTGACACCCATTTCCATTTTTTGCAATCTATCCAAGCCTCTAGAAAGATTAGTTCATTCTCAGCTGAACAACTTTCTTGAGCAAAACCGTCTCCTCAATCCTCTACAATCCGGTATTTGTTCCCAATACTCCACCCAATCTGCCTTATCAAAGACCTCCAAGCATCCATAGACAAACAGAAAATCTCCATCCTAGTGCTTTTCGACCCCGTCAATCATAATATCCTCATTTCCAAACTCCAAATATCGAATAGCGTTCTGAAATGTTTCCTCTCTTTTTTATCCCATCGCTCCCAGACAGTTGTTATTCTTGACAAATCTCCTTCCTCATCCTTTTAATTAACACGAGGTGTTCCTCAGGGCTCCCCACTCTCTCCAACTCTGTTCTTCATTTATATTAGCGACCTTCCTGACTCCATTTGTCATTCTCACTATCACTTATATACAGAGGATCTTCAAATTTACTTATCGCTCCAATCATCTGAGATGCCCGAGGCTACCCGAAAACTAAAAGAGGATATTGATTATATCCATAGATAGGCGGAAAAAAAATAAACTAAAGCTGAACGCAGACAAAACTAAGGCAATCCTCATTGGTTTCAAGCACCTCATTAGTTCTCCTCCTTTCTCTCCATTATTTTACCTCAATAACCATCTCATCTATTTCTTTCCGACAGTCAAAAACCTCAGGGTGATCTTTGATCAGAACCACATCCATAAACTACTTCAAACAACTCCTATTCGACCACCTACTACAAATTCAAACTTCTGCTGGCTTGTAAAAATTTCTGGGTTATATAATTATGTTGGTCACTAGTAGTTAATTGATTAAAGTAATTTATTTTTATTTATGCAATTTTTCTATATCTCAGTATTTATTGTATATATTTGTGTTTTTCCTTAGTATTTTTGTAGATATTTATATTTTCCTTTGTATCTTTATATATACACTGACAGGCAAAAAATTCCACCCACTTGATTTTTCCATGTTTTCATCTAAAAATATTTCTGTAAAGTTGTATTTGTATATAATACATGGTATTTGTAGATAATACTTAGTATTTATGGAATTTTATAATCTTTTTTACCTTTAATAATCAAAATGTGATTGGGTAAGAAAGATTAGAGAAAAAAAAATTGAAAAACGAACCATTATTATTCTAAAAGAAATTAATTACATCATCGTTTAGTAGCGTGTGTTTCCTCCTCTTGCCTTCACTACTTCTTGAAGACGCCTCGGCATACTTTCCACCAGTCGGGAAATGTCCCTTTGCTGGAGGATAGCCCATTCCTCCCGAAGAGCCCTTTCAAGGTCCTGCAGTGTATCAGGAAGTGTTGCACGCGCTCTTATTCGTCTTCCGAGGTTATCCCATAAATGCTCAATGGGGTTCAAATCTGGAGAACGTGCTGGCCAGGCTAAAACCTCAATATTGTTCTGTTGAAGGAACGTCTGCACTATGCGGGCGACATGTGGGCGTGCATCTAGAATAGAACGATCGCCGATTTCGTTGAGGATAGGCAACACATGAGGTTCCAAAATCTCATCTACATAGCGAATGGCCGTCAAAGACCCTCCACGAACAACAACCAATTCTGTGCGGCGCTCCATTGAAATCCCAGCCCACACCATTAAGGAACCACGTTGGAAAGGTTGGCTCTGGGAAAAATTACAGGCTGCATATCTTTCGTTTCTTCTTCTCCACACCCTTTCACGCCCGTCTGGAGATCGAAGAGCGAATCTTGACTCATCTGTAAAAAGTACAGCACTCCATTCGTCCATAGTCCAATGGCTGTGTTCTCGAGCAAAAGCCAGCCGTGTTACTCTGTGAGTTCTGGTCAACTCTGGTCCTCTTACTGGACGAAAAGCCATTAATCCATACTCATTTAATCTTCTCCGAGCGGTACGTTCAGAAATTTGCACACCTCGAACTTCTTCGAGCTGATGAATCGCTTGAACAACGGTAAGGTGCCGGTTTCGTAAAATTCTCAAAGTCAAAAACCGGTCATCCCGTGGTTCTGTTACCCTAGGCCGTCCAGAACCGGGCCTTCTATTGTAAGAACCAGTTTCCCGAAAACGCCTGACGGCGTCTCGTAAAGTTTCATATGGAACTCCGATGGCATTAGCTGCATATCTAATGGAACGTCCATCATCAATAAGTGCCACACCACGCGCAACATCCTCAGCACTAAGAGGCATTTTTAAACTTAATATTGAAAAAATTAAAAGCCGGAGACTAAGAAATGTGCTGCAAGAAACGGCACTGAACTAATGATACTGAATAAACATTTTGATTCCATAGAATGTAAACATTGGAATCTAGAATCATTTCATTGAATTAAGGATTAAGGGTTATTGTCCTTTATATTAACATTCCTAATTGAAAACAAACAAAAAGATTACCTATTTATTCATTAAAAACAATAGACCAATCCAAAGCAGAAATATTTTTAGATGAAAACATGAAAAAATCAAGTGGGTGGAATTTTTTGCCTGTCAGTGTATATATATATATATATATATATATATATATATATATATATATATATATATATATATAAAGGAAGGAGATGGTACGGGGTGGCGGTCATAAATTGGCTAAATAGTGGCAAAACTATTTTATTAAAAGCCAATGTTTCGACCCAACTCTGCAGGTCTTCTTCAGGGAGGTGTGTTCAGCTAGGAGTTTCACTTAGAACTTTAGTTTGCAGGTCTAAGTGAAACTCCTTATATCGCATGTTAAGACCACAGGAAACCATCTGAAATTGTCAAAATAGGCAACATTTTACTTATTTATGCAGTGTACTGTATTTTAATGAATCGGTAGGTTATATAAATTGTACAAATCGACTTATCCATCTATCCTGGCATACATTTTATTACCTGAGGGCGCCCTCGGTGCAGTGGTTATCTCTGGCTAGTTCTGTGATGGAATGGGGCGAGTCGTACCAGTAGCTGGTACGGATTAAATTTTATCGTTTAGATCTTATCTGATATTTCCCACCACTCAACGCAACTAGACAATTGGGCACAATCGCTTTATACAATACAGTGGTTAAATGTTTTGTGAACTAAATGTTATTATCGTTAAATATCTCTGGATAAAAGTTGAAAGATCAAGGAAGAGAAGAGGTGGTAGCTACAGATATAAAATGCTAGTTGATATCATCAGAGGATACTAGAAAGGCTGAGGGAAAGGATCTAGACGGTTCACAAAGGGAAAGTTTACGAAGCAGACACCATTTTGATTTGATATCAGTAGCTGATTAGCTTGTCTCTTAACTAGGTTAGCTTACTAAAAATTAACTAAAGTATTTTTACAGATTTTCTCAAACAGGTATATATTACAACATGTTACACCTAAATTTTAACTTGATAAATAAAACTTTATGACATGATTTAATCTGTTTTATAATTTTTTGTTTAATTTTAAACCACAGGATCTAGATTCATCTACTAAAAATAAAATGAGGGATCAATTTTCTGTAAGTTTTAGTAAATGTTGGCTACAGTTAATGGAAACAGACAAAATAGCTATGAATTCCTACGCACAAGTTTTTATGTTGAAATTAGCTACTTCTTTCAATATACTGAAACTTTCTAAGAAGGTATTACTATTATTATTATTTTTTATTTTGGTCAGTTATCTTTTAGATTGTGGTTAATGTGTAATTATGGAAGGAGAATGTAAAGTTTGTATATGTATATTTATGAAGATTTCAAAGGTTAAGAAATCAAGATCTCTCCAGGAAATTTGTTTGGAAATATTTACAGGGGTAGAGACATTGTATGACATTTCGATAAGGTCGTGAGATGAAATGAATGAAACAGAAATTTGTGAGGCAGATAATAGATTTTGGGGAGAATAACTGATAAATAAATCTAGCTCGTTATCAGTAGATTGGGTATGGTGGGTGGGCTAGAAAGGTACAATAAATCTGTCTAGGAAGAAAATTAGGTCAATAAGGTATGTTCTATTTGGTGAATTTGAAAAGAGATTGGTGTTGAGATCACCTCCAATAATTTTTGTTTGTTTGTTAGGGATTCTATTATATGTTGGTAAACGAAAAGTTGAAGAGCGGTTCTGAAATCTCAAATCCGATAGTATTTTCATAAAAAGCACCCCCCTCCCCAAAAAAACATAATAGTCGACTTTGATATCCATTCAGTCCAAAACGTTAATGTGCTGATGTGCACTCTCAAATCCGACAGTATTTTCATAAAAAGCGTCCCTCAAAACACAATAGTCGACCTTGCTATCGATTAAATCCGTGAATGTTACAAAAATGTGATGGACGGTTGCGAAATCTCAAATCCGGCTGTATTTTCATGAAAAGTTCTCCCCAAAATATAATAGTCGATCCTGGTATCGATTAAATCTGAAAAGTAATGAAAAACTGATGTGTGGTTGCGCAATCTCAAATGCAACAGTATTTTCATAAAAAGCGCCCCAAAATATAATAGTCGATTCTGATATTCATTAAATCCGAGAATGTTACTAAAATGCGATGCACGGTTGCGAAATCTCAAATCCGACAGTATTTTCATGAAAAGTTCTCCCCAAAACATAATAGTAGACCCTGGTATCGATTAAATCTGAAAAGTAATGAAAAATTGATGTGTGATTTCAGAATCTCAAATCTGACAGTATTTTTATAAAAAGCGCCACGGAAAACATGATAGTTAACCCTAATATCGATTTAATCAGAAAACTTACATAAAGTTGATGCATATGGCGCAATCTTAAATCCGACTGAATTTTCATTAAAAGTGCCCCTCAAAACATAATAGTCAACCTGATATCGATTGAGACCCCCAGTATTTTCATAAAAAGCGCCTCTAAAAAACAATAGTTGACCCTGCTATCGATTAAATTCCGAAAATTACGAAAATGTGATGCGCGGTTGCGCAATCTCAAATTCGATAGTATTTTCATGAAAAGCTCCCCCCAAAACATAATAGTCGACCCTGGTATTGATTAAATCCGAAAAGTAATGAAAAACTGATGTGTGGTTGTGCAAACTTAAATCCGACCCTATTTTCGTAAAAAGTGCCCCCGAAAACATAATAGTTGACCCTAATAATGATTTAATCCGAAAAGTTAATGCGCAGTTGCGCAATCTTAAACCGACAGTATTTTCGCAAAAAGCGCCTCCCAAAAGATATTAGTCGATCCTGATATCGATTAAATACGAGAATGTTACTATAATGCGATAGGCGGTTTCGCAATCACATATCCAACATTATTTATATAAAAATCGCCCCCACAAAAACATAATAGTCGACCCTGATATCGATTAAATCCGAGAATGTTACTAAAATGCGATGCGCGGTTTCACAATCTCAAATCCGACATTATTTTTATAAAAAGCGCCACGGAAAACATGATAGTTAATCCTAATATCGATTTAATCAGAAAACTTAGGTAAAGTTGATGCATATGGCGCAATCTTAAATACGACTGTATTTTCATTATAAAGCATCTCCCCCTCCCCCCCAAAAAAGTATAATGATCGATTCTGATATCAATCAAATCCGGAAAATTAGAAAAAGTTGATGAGCGATTGTGCAATATCAAATCTGACAGTATTTTCATAACAAGCGCCCCCCATAAAAATGCGTCAATGTTTTTGTCTTGTAATAAGACTGGTAGTTCATTGATATGATTTCGAATACCATTCACATTCCAAAGGAGAATGGAGAGGGATTTGATTGAGGACATTTATAAATTTCTTGGCGGTGGAATGAGGTTGGTTACAACAGTTATAAGGAGATTGATAAGTGGTGTGATGAATTTTTTTTCTGCCTCTTATTCTTCATGACCTACCCCCTTCTTCACTGAGCTGGAGGGAAATCTAAAGCTTCCTACAGATAGAGGTAACAGTCGATTATAACAGTTAACACAGTTAGCGACCAATGTGGGGACCTAAATTTGTGGAGTTTACAATTTATTGTTAAATATGTTTTTTTTTCTTCTTTCTTTACTTGGTTTATGAAGATTAATTTTTTTTCAGATGTTGTTAGGAATCTCCTTAAAACTTTTAGTCCAGGCATATATTTAGGTTTGCTGGTTCGGCAGTTGCTTACTCAATTTTTTTTCTATAATGTTTTTTTTCCCTTCCATTTTGTGAGCTATTGCTATTGCAGTATTAAACAAAGTTTAAGTGGCTCTGTTGGTCCCACCATCGCAGTACATTCTTGCTACCTTCCTATACCGAGTTTTACATTTCAGAGACCCTCCTATATTCTATAAAACCTACAATTTAAATCCTCCTCCACACCGAACTGCTGCATTTGACTAATCCTTTGTAATTCAATCCATCTCCCTCTGGAATTCTGTCCCTCCCAATATTCGACACGAAAAGTCAGTCTCCTCTTTCAAATCTCTCCTTTTCAAACACATTTTCTATTTCCTATTCGTAAGACTCTTTAAGTACACTCAGATATTATTTTATTTATTTATTTTATTTTATCTTTATGTTAATTTTATATTTATTTATGTATATTTTTTATTTACTTTTATTACTTGTATTTTTACTTTATGTTATCAATTATTTTGTAAGTATTTAATTTTACATTATGGACTCAATAACATCTTAGAATTTTTTATGTGAGAATTTATTTAATCAATTGAAGTATAAGTATGTAATAGTTATTAAATTTTATAAAAAAGTATTATTTACAAATAAGTCATAAAATCCGAACTAAAACTAATGAATAGTCAATTTCAGAGAAAGTTTATATCTATTAATATTACATTAAAAAATAAAAAAAACGTGAATACTTTTATCTACAAATAAACATTTAACTCAGTTAAAATAAATGAATAGATAATTTTAACGAAATTGAGTACAACTAAAAATATGACTAAACAAATATAAAATATTACTTACTTACTTACTATGTAGCTCTACTTCCCAGGGTGGGCCTTGGCTTCCTGAATTATAGCATGCCCAATCATCCCCATTGCTCGCTCTTTCCTTCCAATTTCTCACGCCCAGTGTTCTAAGGTCGCTCTCAACATCTTGTAGCCATCTTTTTCTTGGTCTTCCCCTTCTTTTTGTGCCATACATTGTGGAGAACAATGCCCTATAAGGCATCCTGCTGTGGTCCATTCTAACCAGGTGGCCTAACCATTCCATACGTCTAATTTTTACGAAATTAACTATGTTGGGGCTGTTATATAATTCATATAGCTCCGCATTTTTTCTATATCTCCACACACCCTCTTCACAAACAGCTCCATAAATTTTTCTCAAAATTTTTCTTTCAAAAATATTCATCATTCTAATTGTGCTAGTACAAAGGGTCCATGTCTCCGCTGCATAAGTCACAATAGGTCTTACTAAAGTCTTATATAGTCTTATCTTTGTTTCTCCTGACAGGAGCGATGATCGAAAAAATTTTAGGTTGGCATAGTACGCCCCGTTTCCAGCCATGATCCTCTTGTACACCTCAGCAGCAATTTTATTTTCAGAATTCACTTCCACCCCCAGGTATGTGAATTTTTTGACACATTTGAAGGTAAGACCACATATTTCAATGCTCTGTGGACCAGCCTCATTGTCAGCTCCAACATACATGTATTTTGTCTTATCTTGATTGATTTCCAGCCCAACATTTTCATCTACGGCTTTCAATATTGCAAAGATTTCTTTTATTAATCTTAAATTCCTGGTAATTAGGCATATATCGTCTACGTAAGCACATATTTGCACCATTGCGTTAAGTATGCAACCAGGTGAATCTAGTTTTTTTAACACATTATTAAGTGCAGTATTAAATTATGTGGCAGACAAAGCATCCCCTTGCCTAACTCCATCCGTCATTGGAAAGCTATTGCTTACATTGCCTTTAATAACTACTTTTGCATTGCTATTATTCATAGTCATTTGCAATAATCTTATTAATTTTTTGTGTAATTAATTAATTTGTGACTCATGTAAGGCATGTATTAATTTGCTTCTTATTACTCTGTCGAAAGCTTGCCGGTAATTTATGAACAGCATATGTAGGTCAATCTTATATTCCCAGGCTTTTTGCATTATCTGTCTCATCACAAAGACCTGATCAGTTGTTCCTCTCCCCTTCCGAAATCCACACTGGTTTTCCTCCAGTATATTCTCGGCAAATACGTTGAGCCTCACAGAGAGGATGTTGGAAAATTTTTTATAGGCTACAGCCAATAGAGAAATGCCCCTGTAATTCTCACATTATCTCCTTTTTTATATACCGGGCATATCAGACTGGTGCACCACTCCTGAGGCATGATTTCACCACTCCAAACTTCCTCCAGCAGTAAATACATTTGGCTTATCAATTGTTCTCCTCCGCACTTAAAGAATTCCACGACCAGCATATCCTCCCCAGTTGCTTTGTTATTTTTTAATTTTTCAATCGCCTCAGCCACCTCTTTCATAGACAATGGCTCCAGGTCATCAACACACCCCTCCTCATCACTACCAACCATACATTCACCACCACCAGAGTTGAACAACTCTGTGTAGTGCTCTTCCCATCTACCTAGAACTCGAGAGCTCTCCACTACCACACCATCTTTATCTTTTAAATTATCTTAATATAAAATATTAAGTAAATTAAAAATGCATTCATGTTAAAAAATAACAAAATGTTAATGGATAACAAAATAATAATAGTGGATTAACATTCCTAGAAACACTTATTAGGATTATTTTAAGATTTTAGAATGAAGTAGTCACTCAGATTTGCCTAAATACTGCATCAGACATAAAGTAATAAGAAGGTAATGACAACTACTGATCCATTTGCATCTAATACTAAAGTATCATATAGAAAAAAATAGCAGTATCAGTTGTATCTAGATACAAAAGTTATTGTATCAATCTACAAATACTCAAGAGGAGAGTGGGTCTTGGGTCCTCTCCTCCAATACACTTCTAACTCATTATGACTTCCATATTTTTTAATTTAAATTTCCGATTAATAAAATCACAACTATAAATATATATTTTATTTTTGTCTTTTCAGATCAACACTACGATAATTGACTGGTCTTTAAAAAACTTCCTCCAAGGTAACAATCATGAAGTTTTAAAGGAGTGTTTATTATGCATTCATTTTCTTAATTCCTTCAATACAAATATTTTAATTGAAAAAATGCTAATATCTCATGTTCTCACGGGATTTATTGAACTTCTAAAGAATGAAAATGAGGAAACTGAAATAATAAATTTGGTATATTTTTTTTGTCCCTAAAGAGTGAATGTATTGTAGTATATAATTTTATTCTCATATATAAACTGCATTATATTAATTTTATAAATTAACAAATTAATAATCAAGTTACAATAAAAATTTTGTTATCCATGCTCATATAGTTACAGGGAATAATTTGAAGAAGCCTTAAGAGGTAATCATTGTACACAGCTTAGAACCATTTTATGACTTACTAACTTATTCCTTAATACTTATACATAGGCCTGTGCCAGTAATTCGAACTTTAGTAGACTGAACTCTCCAGTAATCTGAACTTGCAAAAAAAAATTATTTGAGGAGTGGTTTATTTTAATTTTTATTCACATAATGATAAAATTATGCATAGAGAACTAAATAAATATCCTGAGAAAGATACCCACCTGCCTAGACCATTTTTGGATAATTTTCCAAGCTCATACGTACACACCCATTTTGAGATTATTTTACAATAGAAACATAATAATAATAATAATAGTAAAAGGCTTAGCGAACCCAGAAGTTCGATGCCGACACCACCAATCGCTTATTACACACTTTCTTACGCTGTTCGCCATCTAAACCCAGTCCCTTCAGATCGGCTTTAGCGTAACCTTCGCTTTGGTCTACCTCTTGGACATTTACCATTCGGTACAGCAAATATCAACCTTTTAGGAATTCTTTCGTTACCAAGCCCAACTATTTTACAAGCCGATGTAATCACCTCAATTTTATTTACTGGATACAGTTCATGCAACTCGGCGTTGTGCAACCTTCTGAACTCTCCAGTTAACTCATCTTTCTTCGGTCCGAATATTCTACAAAATACTTTATTTTCAAAAACCTTTCTCATCTCTAAATGTAAGCGGCTACCCATAAAGAAGTGTAGGTAGAATAATGTTTTTATAGATTATAGTCTTTAAATTCCTGGACAAGATGCGTGAGCTAAGTAGTTTTGTCACAGAAAAATAACAAGTATTTCCCGCCTTTAGCCTAACCTTAATCTCCTCTTCAATTTCGTTTTTTCTAGTTATCGTAGACCCTAGATACGTAACATTCTCTACCTGTTCAAACATGTTACCTTCTATATCAATATCACCAGCGATATCGCCATTTTCGCAGCTAACAGCTAAAATATTTTGTCTTATCCGTGTTTATTTTGAGCCCTAGTTCTTTACCGGTTTTCATTAACATTGACTTATTTAGTTTTATAGTTTCTGTGTCTTCGCTTAACAGGACCAGTTCATCCGCATAGCCAAGCACTGGGTGTTCCACCCAGATCCAACCCTTTTTTGTTATGCATCAGCTCCTGATACCATGTTCTAATGCCATATTGAACATGACAGGCGAAAGGAGATCACCCTGTTTTAAACCTGAACGAACCTCAAACTTTTCGGATTAATTATTACCGATTCTAACTTTATTGAGAGTTTCCATCAAGCTCATCCTGACTAGATTTACTAATTTTTTTGGAATCCCCTACTCAATTAGAATATTATACAGTTTCTGGCGGTCAATTGAATCGTAAGAATTTTTAAAATTGACATACAGCTGGTGAACAACACTGTTGTACTCTAATTTGTTCTCCAATATTTGCCGTAAAGAAAATATTTGATCAATAGTCGAACGATTCTGTCTAAATCCACATTGGTAGTCACCGATAATTTTCTCGGCGTATTCTGTGATTCGACTTGTTAAGATTAAAGTGAATATTTTATAACATACGGGAAGGAATGAAATTCCTCGATAGTTATTACAATCCGTCCTCGAACCTTTTTTGTGAATCAGAATAAGAATAGATTCTTTTCATTCTTCAGGTAATTTATCATTCACCCAGATCTTTTTAACCAACAGATGTATTTTAGAAACTCCAACTTCCCCGCATGCCTTCATTAGTACAAAAGGAATATCATCGGTTCCTGCTGCTTTATAAGATTTTAATTTTAATAGCTACTTCCACTTCCTCTTTACTCGGTTCTTATATTAACGGTTCAACACTCTGGTACTCAGAAGGAGGACAGATCATAATTTTCCGTATTTAAAATACTGTCAAAGTGACTTTTAAACTTATTTAATATGTCCAGCGAATCGTTCAGAATATTGTTATTTTCATCCCTAATTCCAGATGTGACGGGTCCTAAACATTTACGTGATCTGTTTATACCTTTGTACATGGCTCTTACGTTATTTTAAATTCTATTAGTTTCTATTTCAATTATTTTATTTTTAAGATACTTCTTATTTTTGAGCAATTTTGTCGTTTCATTCTTTGAGGTTCGGAAGTATTCCAGATTGTGTTCGCTAGGATTATTTAGAGCTTTTAATTTAGGGGCTTTTCTTTTTTCAGACATGTTTCAGCAATCTTCATCAAACCACGGTTTGTTATTCTTATTTTCATTTTTTTCCTAGACACTAGTTACCGACCGCTTTACTATTATCCCTGATCTCTACCCATAACTTGTCAATATACTCGTGGTCCTCGTCAGAAGATTATAAAGTTTCAAACTTATTCTTTACATCTAGCTCGAATTGAGTTCTAATTGATGGATTTTTAATTTTTCCAAATTAAAATTCTCGAAATTGAAACGGTTTTCTTTTCTCTTTTTTATATTAAGTTTTTGTCGAAGTTTTGCGATTACTAATTCATGATTCCATATGACCGTACATTAATTATACTGCTTTTCCAGCAATGTTGTATCAAGACCTAATCGATTCGATTTTGTGTTTTCGAATCCAGTGATATCCAGGTTTATTTTTTAATATCCTTATGTTTAAACGTAGTACTTTTAATTATCAGGTTTTTCGAGAAGGCAAAGTTTATCAGACAGATCCCATTATCATTACTATATTCATGCTAACTTTCTTTACCAATCGTCGGGATGTAAACTTCTTCCCTCCCCGGGACATAAACAAGGTGAGTAATCACTTATTTATAACGGCATTGTGAACAGTGTAAATAGACCTGAGGTTAGTGATAGATAACAAGCCGGCCATTTACATTCGTTAATCCGACCAGTGGCCTGTTGCCCTTTGGTGGAAGCAGATCTACGTTACTTAGACTTCTACAAACTCGCGTAATATATACGTAATTGATAAAGGACATTTTTTTTTTTTAATTATTACATTTACCTCTAATTAAATTAATATGAGATGCGCTATTTTCATATGGTAATGTCGAGCAAAGGTAACAATCCAACTTTAAGATCTAGGAGCCTCGATACCTCAAAGAGTTCACCTATCAAGAAAAGGGCTTGACGCTCTAAAAAAAATAGCCCGCCAGCTACACCAGAGAGCTCAGTTGATGAAGTTGAAAATCAACCTGGCACATCATCACAAAATATGTCAACACAAGTTATACCAATACAAGGTACGTTAGAAGAATCGCCTTTTTTTACAGCTAATCCATTCCAAGTGCTGTCAAACACACAGAATGAACAAATGGAAGCAGTACCCATCCCTAGTGAACCTAAACCTCCACCAATATTCGTTAGAAATATAAAAAATTTCCAATTAATGTGTCAACAATTAAATAATATAGTGGGCTCAGGTAAATACTTATGCCAAAGCCGCACTAATGACACGAAATTAATGCCTGACACCCCAGATACGTACAGAAAAATTGTCAAGTATTTATCTGACACTAAGGCGGATTATCACACATATCAACTGCGCCAAGAGAGAGCGCTCAGGGTGGTGATCAGGAGATTACACCCATCAACACCGCTGGATGCCATTAAAGAAGAACTAACTGAGATGGGGTTCCGTGTTTGACAAATAGTGAATATATTCAAGGAAGATAGAGAACAGCCTGGTACAAAAATAAAATACCGCTCCCACTATTCTTCGTTGACCTTGACCGAATGCCCCAGGTCGAAGAAATCTACAAGGTCACACGCCTTTATTACACTAGCGTTGTTGTAGAAAAGACCTACACTAAGCGCGACATTGTACAATGCCATAACTGCCAGGCTTATGGTCATACGAAACGCTATTTCCACCATATTTCTAGATGTGTCAGGTGCGGTGACCAACATAAAACAGAGGACTGCCAGAAGTCCAGAAGAACACCAGCAGTATGCGCTTTATGATCCAGCGAACTACAAGGGTTGCCAAACATATAAGGAACTGAAAGCAAGAATTTATGCAGCTCCAAGAGAAGAATGGCCATCCAGGCCACCAAGAAAACCTTCTAGAACTGTAAATACAAGAGTGTCCTATGCTCAGATGTTCAAAGGAGACACTGCACCCACACAAACTCAGGCTCTGCCACAAGAACCTCAACCTCGAGTATTCACATCTCAACCACAAGACCCTTATCCCATCTCTGAACCTAGGCCTAATAACCAGACATTCATTCCTCCTCCTCTCAATGCCACTGACCTCACAAGCCTATTGACTTCTTTCCTCTCTGAATTCAGGTCACTCATCACTCCTCTCATTTCCTTACTTACCAATGTTGTATCCAACCTCATCCCACTGCCGAGAAATCCTTAAATGTCCCCAATCAAATCCCTCTCCGTTCTCCTTTGGAATGCGAATGGTATTTGAAATCACGTCAACGAACTAACAATCTTATTACAGGACAAAAACATTGATATAGCATTAATAACTGAAACTCGACTTACCAACAAACGACCACTTAACATCCCCAACTATCATATCTATCGAACCGACCATCCTGATGGAACAGCACATGCTGGCACTGCCATAATTATCCATCAATCCCTTTCCCATCATATATTCCCTTTGCTAACCCATAATTTCCTACAATCCACTGTCGTGATAATCCAAACTTCCCTTTACCCAATAGCAGTAGTCGCAGCATACTCCCCGCCTAAAATACCCATCTCAGAATCCCAATTAACTTCCTTCCTTAACTCCTTAGGACACCACTTCCTTCTAGGTGCAGACTTAAATGCTAAACACCAGCAATGAGGAGCCAGAACCACAAATTCCAGAGGACGAACATTGCTATCTGCACTTAATTCCCATCACAGCAACAT